ATCACAAGCTGAGAAAGTTATTCTGGGGAGAAAAAGGAGAGGAGCCTTATAAGTTAGTGATGAGGTGATAAACAACTGCAAACATACACTAACTAGTGCATTTATTAGCCATGCATCAACAAGTGAGAAGTTTGTATCACTGTCTGTTGTAAACCCACATATTAAATATAATATATATATTAAAAGAAAAATGTATGGTTCTGTTCATTCACCTCACCTCCATACCCCGTCAGCACTCAAGCCAGTAACACGGCTCAGTTTCCGCACTCTTGGTGAGCTGGCCCTACTTCTTCCACATATCTGGTCTTGACCAAAGCAGTGTGGTAGTATACCAGTGATTCTCGGTGTGTTGGTCCTGCCTAGCAAATCAGTAAAGTTAATCACGTTCCTCAGCCGCCTGTTGCCTGTCGGAGTTCGGACTTCCATGGACATACCGAGACTGCAGCACAGCACATCTCTGAAAGTAAAACATGACTTGGCAAAGGCCAGTGAACTCTCTGTTTGTTATAATGTCTCTCCTCTTTATTTAGTAATTAGTAATAATTTGTTTCTTAGCCAAATGTCAGCATTTGTGTATGGATTTTTATTTTTCCTCGAGGTGCATGAATAGAACCATACATTTTTCTTTTAACCTTTTGGTGATCGCCACAAAATGTACCTTGAAACACCAATTGCTCATTCTCTTCCAGTTCCATGGAGCTCCAGATTTCTATGAAGCAATGCTGAAGAACCTCAACATAGTGTTTACCACTCTGTTTTCTCTGGAGTGTGTCCTTAAGGTTATTGCTTTTGGTCCACTGGTGAGTAATGGTTTCAGGGCAGCTCCAATGGTCCTGAAAGATACAAGACAGCTAATGATTATCAACTGTTGTTTCTCAGAATTATCTAAAGGACGCCTGGAATGTGTTTGACTTTGTGACTGTGTTGGGCAGCATTACTGACATACTGGTGACTGAAATTAATGTAAGTGCACCTTTTTTCATTTGCTTGACCCCTTGTCTGAACAATGCATTGTATCTATGTGTGCCTGTTTCTCAGTCTTAATTTCTTAAAATGCTGTAACATCCTTTATTGAACTGTTCTGTGTTGTGTTCTGGTGATACAGAAAGTATGACTCGGCCAACAGTGGCTGCTGGTTCTGTCTGTTGTTTACTGTTGGCATGTGAACAATATCTTTAGCTACACACCAGTTCCAAAATAACACAAAAAGCACAATTGCAAGTAAGATAAAGAACAAACACAGTGAACATACCTGTACAACAAAATACAAAGGCAGACAGTGTCTGCGTGGTTAAACAACAGCTCCTTCCTCAATCACACCTACACACAGACACCTGTACCATTGAGTGCCTATGATAAGGTTCTAAAAGTATGTTTAAAAACTTCATATTTGGACACAAAATGTATCTGCAAACTCACAACATCATACTATCATGCAGAAATGCCTATGACAACAGTTAATGTTCATCAAAAAAAATGTTCTCTTTGCAGCAGAGAAAAGTAAAGTTTACCTCTCCTCAGTGTTTCTGTCACGAACTGAGGAGAACTGCCGTTGAGAGTGTGATGATGTCACACACACACAGTATTTATTTGGTTACACATACAACACTGCTGTCATGGTATTAAGTGGTAGTTGGGACATCCTGTACAAACAAACAAGTTAGCCACATGAGCAAAGACAATCACATGGCAGTGGTCGAGAGAGTCTGATAGTTTCAGCAGTGGAGAGAAGGGAGGATAGTGATCCACTTCTTAGAGTAATCTTTAATGTGTGGTCTACAGTGGAGTAATATTCTGCACTTGTTTCTGATTTGTGTTGGACAGTTTTTTTTATTCATTCTAGATTATTCCTTTCAGTGCATTTAGCTTTGTACACGTGTGTATTGTAAAGAAGCCTTTGACTGATTTATATGTTTACTTGTATCAGTTCATGTTGTTCCAGTATGACTGTTCCTGTTCTCTTGTCTCTCCTTTCCTACCTCTTCCTTTCTACTCACCTTCCTCTGCCAATCACTCTCTCCCTTTATATTTCTGTATCTTGTCCTTCTCTCCTACTACATTTGTTGATTGTCATTTCTGGTCTTGCCATGCCGTGGTTCCAAACTTCACTAGACTACGGTGAGTGACTTTCTGCTGCCATTCTCTGTTAATTACTGAAGTCCTTCCCACCAATCTAAATGCAGATTTCACTGTAGTTCCTATTGAAACTTTTGCCAGTTTAGCAGTCAAAGTGATTTGAGCCATCCATGCCCCAGAAATGAACCATCGTTCAAAATCACTGACATAGTTATCTTTCTCTTGCCATCTTGATATAAAATCAGAATCAACTGGGCCTGCCCAGGAGATTCCACACTACAGATAACGACTCAATATCAATTGCTGAATTGTATGCGCAATTGTATGTGCAAAATTTGTGGAAGAATCTGCATTCATTGCGTTCCCCCACTCATCTATTCAGGTTCTTCCTATAATTTGTCACTGTCTGTATTTTCTGTATGCTGTAGTTTCATCATGCTTGCATATTCAGCATTTTCTCACTGAACTTCAGTGGAGACAGTAACAAAGCAAGGGTTTCGTTCAAAAGAGACCTCAATTCTGATAGAAGTCCTTTTAATTTGTGTGACCCAAATTGCTGAAGCTTTACATGAACTTCAGCTTGTTGCCTAATGCGAGTTAAATGCTTAAATATGCTCAGTACCAGCTGATCATTTGTAACTAAGCGAAGCAACTTTCCTCAGTTGTGATAAGAATGTGTTTATCAGTAAGTGATGAGGTAGCTGGTTTGTAAGTCCTCAATGTTCTATCTGTGTCTAACAGGACAGACTGCTGAACCTGAGCTTTCTGAGACTCTTCAGAGCTGCTCGACTCATCAAGCTTCTGAGGCAGGGTTACACAATTCGCATCCTGCTGTGGACCTTTGTCCAGTCCTTCAAGGTGCTTATACACATTATAAGATGACCACACATCAGCAATCTTATCCTCATTGATCACATGCTTGTATCGCACACCGATGTGCAATAACTACATCAGGGCCGCTGTGGCGCAGGTGGCAGAGGGTTATCCTCTAATTGTAAGGTTGGTGGTTCGATCCATCCTCCACAGTTGAGGTGTCCTTGGGCAAGACACTGAACCCAAAGTTGCTTCCAATGTCAGGCAAGCACCTTGCATGGCACTCTGTTGCCATTGGTATATGAATGTGTGTGTGTGTGTGTGTGTGGATCCTGGGTATGACATTAAAGGGAATCCTTGGCAAGCAGGGCCTTGGATCCTGTAATTCCAACGGGCTTCTCCTCCTTGGACTATATGCTGAAAATGAGCTGGTCATCACTAACACCGTTTTCATTCTTCCGAATTGTCACAAGACCACGTGGAAACACCTGCAGTCAAAGCACTGACTACATCCTCACCCGATAACGTGACCGGAGCAATGTCCTTGTGACCTGTAGCATGCCGGGTGCAGATGACTGCAGGGATCTTCGCAAGGCTGAAGATCCCTGGAGTCAGGGGAAGACTACTCCAACCGTCTCAGAGAGCGTCTGAGCGAGACTCCACCACCGGCGCCACAGCCAGATTCTGTAGAAGCAGACTGGTCCGTGCGCCTTGACACCATCAGCAAGGCTGCAGAGGATGTAGTTGGGTACTGCGGTCATTCTCATCAAGACTGGTTCGACCGAATTGACACCAGTATCCGAGAACTGATCGATCACAAGAGATCTGCCCGCCATGCATGGGAGACTCGCCCTTCCCGTGCCTGTTTGCAACGCTTCCAAAAGGCAAAGCAGGAGCGCCAGTGAAGGGTCCAAGAGATGCAGAATCTCTGGTGGCAAGATAAGGCAAAGGAGATCCAGTCTTATGCTGACAGCAGAGACCGCTGGCGTTTCCACGCTGCAACAAAGGAAATCTTTGGTCCTCGCCGTGGTGGTACCAACACCCTCCTGACTGCCGACAGAGCAACCACCCTTACAGAGGATTAAGCCATCCTTAAAAGGTGGAAAGAACACTTTCAGATGTTCCTGAATCGTCCATCTACCACGGCTGATGATTTGCTTCGTAAGGTACCCCAACACCCAGTCAGGCATTCTATGTCACTCCCTCCCTCCTACACTGAGTTTCAGAAGGCGCTGAAGCGCATGAAAGCATGGAAGGCCCCAGGTCCCGACAACATCCCACTGGAACTCATTACTTATTGGGGCGATGCCGTGGAGACCAGGCTTTTCATGATAATTGTGCATATGTGGGAGACGAAAACTGTACCTGTGGACCTGAAGGACGCCACCATCATCACCATCTTCAAGAAGGGGGATCATTCTGTCCCCAGAAACTACTGCAGCATAGCCTTCCTCAGCATCGCCGGGAAGTTCGGCTTCCGAACATCTCTTGGCACAACTGACATGATCTTCTGTGCCCGCCTGCTTCAGGAGAAGTCCCGTGAGCAACAACGATCACTCCTTTTCATCTTCTGGGACCTGGAGAAGTCTTTCGACAGCATTCCAAGATCAGCTATGTGGGCAAACTTGAGATGCTTTGGCTATCCCAACCACTTCACAGACCTTGTACAGGCCCTTCATGATGGGATGACTGGTCACGTCGTGGCGAAGAACACCATCTCTGATCTCTTCTCCATCACCACTGGTCTGAAGCAGGGCTGCGTTCTGGCCCCCACTCTCTTCTCCCTCCACCTTGAGGCTATGATCTACGAGCCTCCTGACACGGCCTCTGGCATCCAACTTTGCTGCCGAATGGATGGAGGCCTCTTCAACACAGGACGCCTTCGCGCCCACCGACTCACCACCCCAGTTACAGTACGGGAGCTGCAGTATGGTGACAACAATGCAACCCCTGTGGGCACAGTCGACGCCCTCCAGACTACTGTTGATGTCTTCGATGGTGCGTACTCCCGCCTCGGTCTCACCTCCAACACTGGCAAGACCAAGATCCTCGCGCAGGGAGCCCCGGGCCATCCCCCTCCAGACACCAGCAACGTACATCTCCGCAGCGAAGTCCTTGAGACTGTGGAAGAGTTCCCCTACCTGGGAAGCTACCTTTGCAATGACTGCCCTGCACAGAAAGACATTGACAACAGGATTCAACCATGCAGCTTTTGGGAAGCTCTCCAAACGTTAACCACGACCTCAACCTTCATACAAAAATCGTGGTGTTCCAAGCCATTGTTCTCTCTACATTCCTCTATGGCTCTGAGGTGTGGGTCCTGTACAGAAGTGACATCAAAAAGCTGGAGCGTTTCCAACAGCAGAAACTCTGTGCAATCCTGAAGGTCAAATGGCAAGATCTCGTCCCAAATAAAACTGTCCGTCTCCGAGCCAATCTCCCCAGCATCGAGACTACGATGGCACGACATCGCCTTCACTGGGCAGGACATATCAGGAGAATGCCCGCAACTCGACCCCCCCTGCCAGATCCTGTTCTTACAACTTCAACATGGCACAAGATCCCGAGGAGTACCCAAGCAACCGTTTCGCGACCAATTGAAGGTCACTCCAGCTGCGCTCTCCACCCACCCTGCCCTGCCCAAAATGCCCTCGACACTTCCATACAGCTCTGGGCTTGGGCAGCCATATCAGACATTGCCACCCAAGAACAGCTACCACCTAACTGAGGACGAGTTGAACCTGTCTTAGATATAATGCTCAGACACAAGCTACCGCCAATGGATGAATGAATGTGAGTGTGAATGGGTGAATGAGAAAAACATTGTAAAGCACTTTAAGTACCACTAAGGTAGAAAAGTGCGATATAAGTGCAGGCCATTTACTTGCACACACAGACTCAAACACAAAGGCTGCAATAATTTAGAGTGGATATTATTAATTTTGGTTTCCTATTGTTCCCTTTAGGCTCTGCCTTATGTTTGCCTGCTGATTGCCATGCTGTTCTTCATCTACGCCATCATTGGAATGCAGGTGTGTGACGCCGCTCTTCTGTGGTCACAGGGTGATAGTCATGCAGTGATTCATCATAAAATGTTGTGGCCTTAACATGAAAAAACATAAACTACAGTAAACTAGAGACAGTACAAATACATCTCCCTCATTGTGTCCCTGTTTTAGGTATTTGGCAACATTGAGCTGAACGAAGACACAGCTATCAACCACCACAACAACTTCCGTACTTTCCTCCAAGCTCTAATGCTACTCTTCAGGTACCTTTTTTTGTCTACATCTCACAGTTTTCTTTCTTTCTTTCTTTCTTTCTTTCTTTCTTTAAACTGTAAATCCTTGGACTTCCAGATGGGCAAATAGCCTATGCCATAGTACTATTTAAATATAAGGTTAGACTGCATCTAGATTTGATGATGCAGCTCCACTGACTATAGGAAGAAAGACATGAACGTGATAGAGGTGTGGAGCAAACTTTTAAGCAAAATGACATACTTATCATAGAAAAGTATGAATTTGAAACAAGACAGAACTTAAACCAGTTTCATATGAAATCCATAAGTCTAAATGTATTTCATTGGTACACTACAGTTTCAAGGTGGAAATGCTGAGCCATGACACTGACTGCTTATTTTGCTCATATGGACATGGTAACATTGTAAAAATCTTGACTTTCACCAGAGAAGGTCTTGAATCCCTATTTATACATTAATATTTAATGTTATGGAGAAACCTTCCAGGAGCTTTAAGTGATCGCTGGTAAAGTAGAACAGCACAGAAGTCCATGTTCTGTCTTTAAAGTTGTTGAAACTGGACTGTGGAAATGCAAAATGCTGCCAGCCTGTTATGTCTATTCAATCAAAGGTCCTCTGTTTTTGTCTGCCTGTGTTTTTGTGTTGATTAGGAGTGCAACTGGGGAGGCCTGGCACGAGATCATGCTGTCATGTTTGAGTCACCGAGTATGTGATGAGCGATCAGGGTCCCATGGGAAAGAGTGCGGCAGTGATTTCGCCTACTTCTACTTTGTCTCATTTATCTTCCTGTGCTCCTTCCTGGTCAGTACTGAAACACACCAAAATGCAGCCACTAAATTGTCACGTGATTGTTGGGCTACACGTATTTTATAGGCCTGTATTTACTGTAATTTGTCTCATTGTATATGTCCAGTCAGATTTAGGTAATTTTTATTGAAAGTTCTAGTCGACAGAAATCTGCCAAATGTAAAAGGAGATTTAAAAAAAAATAAAAAATAAAAAATGTAATTAAAATCTCAATTTAAAATATCCAGCCCTCCTGCTGCGACTGTCCCCTCTCTGTTCTAAGACCCTACCACCAGACAATCACAGACATGCAGAGATAGCCAAGGTAAAACGTTTAATTTGTCGCCTCACTCAGGATTCAAACCCCAGTTTCCCAAGAAGGGACCTCATCTAAAGGTCAATTCATGGTTTCTGCATAGACTTTAAAAACAGATGGCAGGTTTGCACCACATGCAGTGCTATTCATGCTACAAAGGTACGTATCAGTCTGCTACCTCTGATCAGTCACACTACCCCTCATATCGAGCACAGAAAAGCATTAAGGGCTGCAGTGGATGTTTCTGAAAGGATGCCTGTGGCTCCACACTTTTTACAGGATACAGCAGCTAGTTACAGACTGGCCAGTAGAACCATCTCAATGTAATCATTCTTCAGTTGTGCCAAGCACGGTGGAAAGACTGAGCACAGGATTTCTGGAGAATTTGAATCTTTCCACTGTCTTTGGGCACCGTTGATAAACATGCACAGATCAAAACTCCTCCAGTGTCTACAGTGATTACTTCAATGACATCTCCAATATTTGTGAATTATAAAGGGTTAATGATAGAGAATTTCCTCATACACCGCCTCTCTGATAACAAGAATTTATTTTAAAAACCAGTTGTTTTCCTTGCACATGGGCTAGCAGTTAAAACACTGACACACATTGGCAATTTCTCTGGCTGCACACAGACATGTATGTCATGAGTGTCCTTACGGACCATTGCAAATGCATAAAGCATGAATTGGCCTTAATGCATTGTCCTACCACATCCTGTTCTCACTGTGGGCTTTGCGGCCTATTTAAACTATCCTATATGAGTGGAATCTGATTGAAAAGCCTGTGACTGGCTAAAATCTCTTATTACAATCTATATTTTTAAAGCCTGAAAATGGAACCAGAGGAGGTGCACTGTAGTCTAAATAATGCTTACCCCAGGCTTAAGCGTGAAGCACCATGCATGAATTACAATGGCTAAAGAATTTTTTTTTTCTGTGTTCTTAGCAATAAAAAAAAAAAGTAGACGTTTTAAACCCTTTTATCTGTACTGCCAAGAGAGATGGGCTTTGCCACACAGACAACAGCAGACAATAAAATACCAGTAGTACATTATTTTGTGTTTTATTTCAGAAAAAGGTTTTTTTTTGTATGATAGGTCAGCTCATACAATCAACAACATTCTAATGCAGGGCTATTTATCCTGCTACTTGATAATGATTATAATGTGTAAAGCTCAAATAAGATCAGACAACAGTACAGTTAAGTTCATAAAGAGCTAATTGGTGACCTCCTCTAACTGGGGAGCGAACTGACAACAAGCTAACTAGCCAGAAACAAGCTTGCTAGTCAGCCACAGGATTTTCAACCAATTTTTCAGCTGCTTGCTTTGTTATAAGTTCCAGATATGTATCAATGACATAGGATCCATAGTTAAATAAAAATGCCAGTTTTCATTCAAAAATACCTGGAAAACTTAATTAGGAAAAAAGACACAATGACATCACACACTACATTACTACTCTTGTAAAATACTTTCCTCATTTAGAATTTGTCAATTGATTTACAAAAGTGATAAACACAGTGAATCCGCAAGGAAAGTACTTGAGAGAAAATGGATATTTCTACAAGTGAAATGAGAAATACAATGTAGTCCTAATCTCATACAAATGTATAAATACATACATACATACATACATACATACATAGACTCTGAAGAAACATGAACAGTTACTTGTGCACTGATTGGACTGGGTCACACATATGAGCCTTGAGACAGCCTAAAGCTACAAATTCACTTTAGCATGTGGATTCTCACTCACAAAGTAAGACAGAGAAGTTATTTTCAAATTTGTTCTAACCCTGCAGCAACATTACTTTAAAATACAGTACATAAATGAAGTGAGTGCACCACTTGCAATGTCACTTAAGTGTAGCAGAACATTTCCTTTTAGACTACATTTAAAATGCAGGACCCAAAGTAGAAAATCAATGCTTCAAAAGTTAATATACCTGTGATTAGTGACAAACGTTTGGTATCCTCCATGAGTATGGAGTCTATCATCAAAAATAAAGGTAGGCAAATTCCCTACTATTCAACTTAAAAGCAATGCAATTTCTGCAGGGTGGTGCAATTTTGAATCATTTGATATTCAAGTGTGTAGATGTAGTGTAACGACACTGGTATAGGGTAAACTACACTTTATAATTCAAATGTTGTGCTCTTTTACATCCAGGGACACTATTCAGATGTTTCTTTTTTTTAAATTAGGCCATCTGAGAGACCTTTATTAGGAATATTTCAGATTAAATATTCATAAATGTATCAAAACTATTTGCATTGATCAGTCTTCTAATCAGAAGTCGTAAACTCTGATTTCATTGACCTCCAGGTCCCAAACAAAGAAATATACAGTAGAACCAATGTTAATTATATACAAAAAATGTATTAACTAAAGCTACACAAAAGAAGTACAACAACAATGGCATAACAAACAAGATAGTGAATGACAGAATACAGATTTTTTAAAAACTAAGTACTTAACAATGATCGTCACTGGAAGCAGTTGGTAGAGTGGTGCTCAATTTAGAATCACTTTGGAATTGACAAGCTAATTGAGAGTTTCAAAATTCACCAGTTTAGCAGAAGGAAAGTTGTATTTGCATATTGGCACTCCAGAATCAAAGTAAGGGAGGGAGAGGACTGCAGGCAGTGTGTGTCTTTTTGAAGATTTGTTGGATGAGTTGATTCAGTACCTCAAAGACAGGACAGCACCTTTGTTTAGTTGCGTTAAAAAAAGTGTGCCGGAGCTGAACAGTCAAAGTTCATAGTTACAAAGAAAACATTTGTTGTATTGAAGAAGTAAAAGTTAAGAAGCCCCAATTTAAATAAATAGAAGAAACAAATCCCTAGAAAAATAGTTGATAAGAACCCCTAAAAATTAGGTAGTAGAAAAAAACCACGTTGCATTCCAGTGACTTATTTTATTACAGAAAGTTCTTGGAGCCATATTCATATTAGTCATCTAATCAATTATGGATGTGTTCATCTGAAGGACTGGTCCTGAGTTTTACTGTCAATGAGAGGTCAGAGACCAAATATCTTTAGAACTTAATTTGAGGTGATTTTTCTAAATGTACAAATCACATTGCTAAATATCTACGATGAATCTGGATCTGAAATCCCACTGAACATGTGATTAAAATTATATCAGACATGATATGTTCTCTCCTATAGTTCCTGACATAATTTTAAAAAGTGTAAACATGCATACAAACTGTAGAATTTCAGAACACATGAAAATAAACTTCGAATATAACTAAGAATGTAAGCATATACACTCAAGAACAAGAAAAATAGGACTTAGGAATTATATATGTTTAGTAAAATTCTCTCTGTGTCTTTTTTGAAGAGGGGTGTTTGTCTCATGTGTACGCCCTTCACTTCAGATGTGAGGTGTTCTTTCTCATTACTGTTCCTGATGACCTGGTATTGTAGACTGAGTTAAGATGTTGGGATCATCAGTCCTGTGATGTTGGATTTCCTAAAGTTTACGATTCAAAATTGTTCAGTTAATTCTCGTACAGAGGAGGAGAAGAAAGTCAGGAGAGCATAGTGAAAGATGTAATCTCCTCTTCTCAAGAGGTGTTGTCATCTTTAGGATTGGCACTTTGTGACTCAAATGGTGTTCTACCAAATTTACAGATGTGAGAAAGGGTCTATGGATTTACTGTGTGTTGCTTTGGAATGTGCCAATAAACTGATTTTCTTCTCCTTGGTAGACTACAAGTGATATTGCACAGGAGTGTACTCACTTCTGTTGTATACTGTGTACATGTGTATACGTCTGACCATCACTTTATGTCAACTTAGTTTGACTTAGGATGTATCAAATTCAACATTATTAAAATTATAAAAATGTTTTATTAAATTATTTAAAAGCAAGACGAAGAGTATAGCATTTTATATTATTTCAACTGGCCTGATCCAGCAAAAATGTGATGCAACAGAGATGCAGCTTACAAGCCAATGTGCAGTGTCTAAGTGTATGAATGGTGTTACTCAGTTAATTTAGCATAACAACTCTTCAAGCTAGCAGGACTTGCATAGCTGTTGTTGGCTTACTTAGGCTCGATCACTTGTTGATTCATGTTAATTGAAGTAACATATTTCTCGCAGGGCTATAGAAAAATGGATAGTGCAACACAGCTGAAATGCTGTGGCTATAGGAGTGGAGTCTTCAGCTTGTCCAAAGTCAGCACTGTCAAGATGGTTGCTATTGGTCAGGAGCTCAAATTCAGAGTTCACCAAAACAGAACTTAACACAAAAGATTTGTGAGGATTTATTTCACTTACATAAATAGCTCCATGGTCCCACCAGTGTTATTGAAACTGCTGCCACCAGACCGGAACACTGGTCTAATTTACCACTTCATGTGTGTGTTCCAGATGCTGAATCTGTTTGTGGCGGTCATAATGGATAACTTTGAGTACCTAACCAGAGATTCCTCCATCTTGGGGCCTCATCACCTCGATGAGTTTATCCGGGTTTGGGCCGAGTACGACCCGGCTGCGTGGTATGTTCAAGCCCTTACTGGGTTTCAGATAGTAGGTAGATAAAGTGGAGGGATTATACACCTTAACCCTCTCTTCTCCCCGCTTGTGACTAAGGTGACTGAACTAGGCCTCATTAACAGGCATGGTTCTTATACCCTGTTATATGCAGTCAACCCACTGATAATTATTATTTTATTTGAAGCTGTCCTGAACGTTTGTTGATTTATGTGCTTGTTCTTTTCCGCAGCGGACGGATTTCCTATAAGGATATGTACAATTTGTTACGCGTTATCTCACCCCCCCTTGGCTTAGGAAAGAACTGCCCTAATAGGGTAGCATACAAGGTTTGCAAATACTAGACATTTCTGTTACTAGGGTTGTTTACCTCTATGCCAAGAGACTTTTTTACTGAATGGCTGTGCACCACTGAAATCACACTAGCACCCACCCCTCTAAACTGTCTGGCTTTGGTTGATGATGCCGGGTGGAAACAAAGTTTTCAAAGCCGTGGCATTGTCCCAACATGCCTAATGCCATGCTGCTTTCTCATGTCTGCAATGTTTAGATGGCAGACACATTTTTCCTCACATTCTATCAGATCAAACCCTTATAGGTCTTGAAGGAAAATTGATCACTACGCTCAGATCAGCTCAAAAGCCTCATAAGAATGTAATTTGATCATTTATGAAGACGTCTGCCTTAGGAAAGCCAGGCTATGAGTGAAAGTCCCACAAAAGAGCTCTGGTTGGCATTGAAACCTTTGTCTCCTTGCACCCTGGTTGAGGTACCAATGGGATGTCTGTGAGCATGCTGAGGCAGACATCTCAGTTACAATGCTATCATTTCTCTTCCCTCCCATCAGCATTCTGCGTGTTGGATCAATCCATCCTCTCTTCTTCTCTTCCCTTCTCACTTCTCCAACCAGACTCACTCTTTGCCATTCTTTGTTTCCTCTCAGGGGTCCTGAGCTCCACACTGATGCATCCCGTGCCCTGACACAGTGGCCGAGGATGGCATCCACCTCACATCTCACCCGAGGAAATCTATTAACAACAGATTTCTGTTTTTCCTTTACATTTTTCTCCTGTTGATTTCTTCCCTTTGTTCCTCTCCTCCTTCTCTAACTCTCCATCCTTCTCTGTTTGCGTTCTGGTTATTTTTGATTTCATACCCTGTGAAGTGGCCATATCAAGTACATCGATATGTATCAGATGCTGCTCCACATGTCCCCACCCTTAGGTTTGGGAAAGAAATGTCCACCAAGAGTCGCCTACAAGGTAGACCCTGCTCTTCCTCCATCTTCTTCCCTGTGCTAAACAACCTTTCTCCCATTGGCGTGAAATCAATCCAATGTCTGTGCTCTGCAGTGTTCCCTTGTTTCTTCTACCTCATCTTTACTGTCTTTACTGTTTCACTGAGCATAGTTGTTTGTGTGGGCTAATACCCATCACTAGTTATAATAGGTAGGAGCTTAACTAAAGAGAAATAATTAAGATATGTTTATGGAGGAAATTTGCTCAAGTACGTCACTATTTCCTTTGAATGGTACAACCTAGTTTGTCTGTGTGTGTGTGTGTGTGTGTGTGTGTGTGCGCGCGCTTTCTATGTGTGCTCTGTAACATTGTGGTTCTGTCTTTGCTGCCCATTCCCTCATTTGTCATCAACTGTGTGTGTGTGTGTGTGTGTGTGTGTGTGCGTGTGCGTGTGCGTGTGCGTGTGTGTGTGTGTGTGCGCGCACATGCATGTACCTATCTGGGTGTTAGAATGTTACCATTGCACAGCATTGACAAAAACAAGTCATTGCATCATTTTAATTATCATTCTTTATGAATTAGACCCTGTTTCCACCTAATTTAAGTGATCTGTATCTGAATGTCTTGTCTGACTCAGGGAAGTTGCTATGCAATTGCCCTGTAAATGTTCACAGAAAGCATTGCAAAACAGAATGCAATCATAACAAAATCAATAATAATCATAATAATAATAATAATGCATTTATTATGTTATTTCTGTAGCACCTTTCAAAATGTTACAAAGTGATTCAGAGAGCATTAAAATACACAAAACATTAGATTTAAAAAATGAAAGATAGGAAACATGAGTAAAAAACAGTACAACTACAAAAAGACTAATAACCAAGCATCTGAGTAGAAATAAAAGTTGCAGAAATGCTTGTCTGTACAGGTGAGCTTTTGAAAGTGTTTTTAAACTGAAACAGCTAACAACAGTCAAAGCACAGTCCCCCTCAGTTGTGAGCCTTTATTGTGAGAGGTTTAACAGTAGCTGGGTTTCAGATCTCAGGGGTCGCGGTGCAGAATATGACGCTAAAAGTTCTGATATATAAACTGGGGCAAGTCCATAAAGAGATTTAAAGGTGATCAACAGAACTTTGTGGGAAGTCTTGATGCTAAGTTTTGAAACAACTGTTGCTGGGCAATTGTTGAGTTGTTGAGGCAAGTGAATAAAGAGAAAATGAGGGCGTGTATAAGCTGCTCACTTATGTTTCTGGGGAGAATTGGTTTGGTCTTTGCAATATATATTTAAATTGCAGGTGGCATGACGGGACTAAAGTCTTGATGTGCTGGTTAAAACTGAGGTTGTGATCAAAGATAACTCCAAAGCTGGTTGCTGCACGTGTCATATTGGTTGAAAGTGGTCCAAGGCTGGGGGGTGATGTTGTTGGAAATGTGGTTGGGACCAATAGTCAAGACCTCAGTTTTATCTGTGTTCAGTTGTAGGATGCTAGCTGCCATGCAGTCCATAATTGGAGTGAGGCTGTATTGCAAAGAGTGTAGATTGTCCTCATTATCTGGAGTAAGCGATATGTCTAGCTGGTAGTCATCATTATAGCAGTAGTAGGAAACAGGAGTGAAGCTGCGAATGATATGACCAGGGGACAACAGACAAAAACTGAATAAAATGGGTCCAAGGATTGCCCCCTGAGGGACCCCACAGGACATTAGGACAGATAAAGATGAAAAATTGTAATCTGTGACTTTTTTAAAACTCTTATGAAAACCACAGATGCCAACTGAGTTCTTGTGCCCGTTTAAGAGTATTTTATGCTCTACTGTGTCGAATGTTGCACTCAGGTCCAGCAGAATAAGAACCGTCAGACTGCCAGAGTTTGCATTCATCAGGATGTCGTTGGTAATTCTTACCAGGGCTGCTTCTGTGCTATCATTTTTTTTTCTGAGCCCAGACTGGAATTTGTCAAATTCTGAATTATTTTGAATTGCTTCTAAAGTTTAATGGGCAACCACTCTTTCAACTAGTTCCGCGAACAGCAGCTCTGAGATTGGGCAGGTGGTGGCTTTGTAATGTGGCCTACACTGTGATCTAATCTGAACAAGGAGGAAAATAATCTTCACAGTATGTTCACATTTTTAAGAAAAAATGTCTGTTTAACAAGTTGAAAGGTCACCTTACTTCATCTCATCTTAAGCTGCCCATCAAGAGTGGCTTCTTCCCCAGAAAATTAAAACTTTCCTTTCACTCAGGATACAGCTAAGAGCTGTAAGACAGGGGTCATATTACAGAGAGGCAGGTAGGCTAGCAGAAGTGCTGGTGATCTTTTACACAAGGATGACCTACACAAAAGTAGCTGCAGAAATGCCTTCCATGTAATTAATGTTCTTTTTAATCCTAGTTAAGTATTTGATCCCAAATTCAAAATAAATGCAAAAGACTTGATCAGATGGCATCAGCAGATGACAAATCCAAATGCAGATTGCCTGATGTTAACATACCCGTACTGGAAATGGGGCCATATTGTTAACCGTTCCTGCTTCAGCCTCCAGACCGTGGTCGGGAGACACAGGGGAGACTTCACCTCTGCTCCAGGGCCGAAACTGTCCTCAGCGTCAGGGTTACTTCAGGGTAACTTCAGTTTCTTCTTTTCAAACCACTGTCATCAACATGAAAACACCAGAGAGACACATCTTCCCTCATCTGGTACCAGTAGTAACAGGTTTGTAGCCGAGCCACGGTGCGTTCCACACCAAAATGTCCACCCACCGGCTCTTCATGCATCTGTCTCATGACATCAGACCGGAAGGTGCGTGGCAGCACAACTTATGGGTAAAACTGAGTGTCATTCAAACAGTAGAACCTCCTCACCAATATTCCATTGCAGATATAGAGCCGCTTCCACTGGCTCCAGTATGTCTTTGTGGCAAGACTGTATGGTGAGACTGTTACCCAAGGGGGGCATTCTCCTCCAGCCTCGATCCACGCCTTAACAGGTGCAGTGTCTGGGTCAGTTTCTTGGGCCTGCTGCAGCTCTTCCAGGGACCAGCCCGAGAACAGTGTGGTTTCATTGGTAGTGGTCAGGAAGATCTTCTCAGAAAAATGTCGGTGCACTGGGTCATCTCTACCCCCACTGAACTCACTGTGGTGGTGTCTGGGTGTCCCCATACCCCCACTGGACTCTGCATCCTCTGGCCCACAGCAGAGTCCAACACACACTGTACAGCTTGGTGACATTCTCCGGATAAAGGGAGGGGTCAGAAAGCTTACATGGACAGGACTGGCAGCAGGGCCTCCGAGACAGGGAATCTGCATTGCTGTGTAGACGACCAGCGCGATGGACGATCTCGAAGTTGTACTCACCAAGCTTTTCCAGCCACCGGGCAAGTTGTCCCTCAGGCTCCTTCATTTTTGTTAGCCAGCGGAGGCTGCTATGATCAGTACATACAGTGAAGGGCCGCCCCAGCAGGTACTGGCAGAAATGGGACGTGTACTCCACCACAGCCAGCAGCTCTCGTCGCGTGGTATAGTAGTTCTGCTCAGTTGTGGACAGTTTGCGACTCCCATAAGCCAGCACGCGCTCTCTGCCCCCCTGAACTTGGGAGAGAACAGCACCAATACCCACATCGCTCGCATCTGTGTCCAGCACCATGTCGCCTTGGTCGAGTGGGTAAGCCAGGACTGGCACAGTTGTGAGAAGACGCTTGAGCTTATCAAACGCTTCTTGGCATTTCTCGGTCCACTGGAACTGGGCGTGTTTCTGTGTCAGGGCATGGAGGGGCTCAGCGGTGGAGGCAAAGTCTTAAACAAAGCGCTGATAACATGATGCAAGACCAATGAATCTGTATACCTCTTGGAGAGACGTTGGCGCTGGCCAGTCCCGCACCTTTTGGACTTTGCTGGGGTCGGTGGCCACGCCGTCTTCTGAGACAATGTGACCCAGATCGGCCAACTGGCGGCGGAAGAGGCAGCACTTAGCAGGTTTTAGTTTCAGGTTGGCCTCGTGAAGTCTTTTGAAGACCTCACAATCTCTGGTACGTCCCTGCCCAGTACAATGATGTCATCCAAGTAGACAGGTCTCCCACTGTGTGCCAGCCAAGACATGGTCCATCAGCCGTTGGAATGTTGCCGGAGCATTGCATAGTCCAAACGGCATGACATTCTATTCAAACAGTCCGTTTTTGCTGCAGAAAGTAGCTGCCCTGCGCGCTCTAGGTGTCAGCTCCACCTGCCAGCAGTCAGAGGCAAGGTTGAGTGTGCTGAACCATTTGGCAGTGGAGAGTGTGTCTAAAGTGTCTTGAATGCGGGGCAGGGGGGTACGCGTCTTTGAAAGTGCAGTCATTCAATGCTCGGTAGTCTATACAAAGGCGGTATGTTCCATCTTCTTTACGTACCATCACAATTGGTGAGGCCCAGCTGCTGTGACTGTGATCTGCCAGTCCTGCACTCAGACTCTGCTCTATCTGCTGGTCAGCTTCTTGGTGTTTCTCCCATGCATCCGGCGTGGTGGTTGCTCAACTGGGGCACCTGGCCGGGTGATGATGTCATGTTGTACCAAGCTGGTGCGGCCAAGGTCGTTGGGCCCTGTGGAGAACACACCGCCATAAGTGGACAGCAGCTCTGCCAGCTGGAGCTGCTCCTCTCTGTTGAGCTCAGTGGAGCTCTGGGCATAGAGCTCCTGCAGGTGCAGTGGGGCAGGAGGGAACGTTGTGACAGGCTGTTCAGGTTGGCCTGGGGCTGTGGTGTCAGCAGGCTCTATGGCTTTTGCAGGCTGGAGAAACCCCGCGATGGCCCCCTCTTTGATGGTTACAGCCCTGCTCCCCGGATTGAATAGACGAAGTGGTACAGTTTTACAAGGCTGAGCCTCCACCAAGACTCGAGCAACCAGCACTTTGTGTTTCTCCACAAAACCCTTGGTGGGGCTCAGCATCACCTCTCCCTCTGAAGTGATGGTGACGGTTTTTAATCTGGACAGGGACGTCGGTTTCACCAAGCACAGGTACACTACCACGCCCGACACCCAGCGAAGTCTTAACATCTGGCGGCTCAAGTGGTGGGCGGACATCAGGGTGAATAGTGTTGTAATGGTGCAAAGGCAACACATTTTTCCTAGCACCACTGTCCAACACAGCACATACTTCGAGTTCATGCACAAGCATGTGAATGCTCATTTCTTGGCTTGAGGCTTTAAGATGAAGCACATCAGGCCCTGGGTGTTCAGTGGCAACTGCTGAGCCTGGTGATCTAGTTGCTTTCTTCGGTGAGGGGCAATTTCTCTTCATGCGGCCGAAGCCTGAGCAATTGTGACAGCAGATCTCGGCCCATTTAGAGTCAAGGTGGCTGCCTCGTTTAGGTGGTGTATATCTGGAGCTGGAGGACTTAGGCTGCCAGTTAACTGCTGGAGGTGTTGCAGAGGCCTCTGTCTCATCCTCCTTTAACCCCTCCCTGATCACTGCAGCACGGGATCGATGTTCAGCCATGTTTCGTGCCCCAGTTTGCATGAGGCTGGTGACATATGATGCGGCCTGCTTGGTGGTTTCATGATGGCGAGCAATGTCATAAGCTTGGGCCAGTGTGCGGGGCTGCTGCTCTAACAGTTTCTGTACGATCTCTGCATCTCCAAGTGCATTGGTAAAAACTTCAACACCAATAATATCCTGTTCAGTCTCAGTCCTGTCACTGTAGGCCAGACACTTTGCCATAAATATCATCCCTTCACACAGGAAGAGCTTCACCTGGCTTACATACCCGTTATCTCAGTTCAATGGCCACTGAAGCTGCATGTTCTGAAGAAGGACCATATGCCTTTTCTATCACCTCCACCAGGCGGCTGTAATCCCACATGGAAGACCGGGGGTTTTTATGAATAATTGCTCCTGCTGCACCCACCAGACAGAATTTTAGCTGGATGGCCATAGTCTTTTCTGACCAGTAGTTGGCTTTGGCACAGCTTTTAAACCGGTACAGAAACTCTTTCCAGGGAGTGTTGCCATCATACTGACCAGGGCATAAGGTGGGGACTCTTTCTCTGTGGTCGCCGTCTTCCTCACTCTCAGATGAAGGCTGGTAATGTGCACGGCGAGGCTGGCCTGCACGCTGCCTGCGATGCTCATTCTTGGTGAGGTTGCCTTTTAACTGCACAGTCTTGTCATGTGTTTGCTCCGATATTTGTCCATAATTAGTGTCCTCCAGTGAGCTGCAGCAAGGAGCAAGCAGCCTGGGGCACTGAGGGCATGGGGAGTAACAGGGGACTGGTGCGCTCTGGATGAAATCGTCTGGGTGAGCACACAGAAAGGGGTTTGTATGGGGCGTGAAAACAGTGTTAGCTAGTGGCATTGCTGTAGGATGATTGTGCACATAGTGGCATGGCTCTGGACTCCGCACACCGTCATCACAGTTTTTATGGCAGTGAATCTCTTCCTCCATGTTAACAAAGGGGTTTGGGCTTAATAATTTCGGCCAAGGGGAAACACATGCTGCTTCAACCACACCTCGCCTCATATTACCTGGCTGCTCTTTGCAGAAGAAGGGGTGATAATGTCCAAAACTCTCACTTATTCTACTCACATTGTCCATTCCTATTTTAACACAGTCCTCTTCTACTGCGGTTAGCGTCATGAACGGGTTAGAGTGGCTGGTTACTTGTCCAAACACATCGTGCATGTTGAGTGAAACGGGAACGCGGCTCGCGTCCGCCATCTTAGCTTGTTAGCGAGTGAGGGATAATGCCCTTCCAACCAAAAGTCCCGGTGTATTTCACCATCTAAATGCTCACCACTGCTGTCTAGCTGTATGTGAAGCGGTCCCTTCATGGTCGCCAGTGTTAACCGTTCCTGCCTCAGCCTCCAGACCATGGTTGGGAGACACAGGGGAGACTTTACCTCTGCTCCAGGGCCGAAGCTGTCTTCAGCGTCGGGGTTAACTCCCCTTTTATTTTACAGCAGTCGGGATCAAAAACACGGGACTCAGCTTTTTACTTGAGGGCTGTAGCATTTATTTGCCAGTAGTTTCCTGCAAAGGTACACATTTACTGCTACTTGTGCCTGAGCTATGCCTGCTCCAATCGCCCGCTCTCCTCACGTTCACCGTCATCCACGTCAGACACTCGCTCACTCACACACGCCGGTCAAGCAACCTGCGCACCCCAGCATTTCTTAAAGGGCCACACACATTCTTATAACAATATGAAGTCTACTTGAACACAGTGTAGCACATCCACAATCCTTCTGTTAGGCTGTAAAATGTTTAGAAATAAAACCTGGTTAGAATTTTCTTAGAAATACAAGATATCATTTACTGTCTAAAAAGCTACTTATTTTTTCTTGTTCTTTTTAATTGATTGTGCAGACTCTTGTTTAAGTCTAAGTGTGAGTGTTTGGTGCGTGTGTGACCAGAATGCAAATTAGCCTGGTTGTATACGTATGTGTGTGTGTGTGTGTGTGTGTGTGTGTGTGTGTGTGTGTGTGTGTGTGTGTATGCTTGGCCCACAGCTCTTCATCCCCATCTCATTCCGACTCTGGTCTTTCTTACTCTCTGCACTACCACTGACAGCACATGTAGGTGAATGCTTTTTGTGTTCAGGGAGCTCAACTCTTACAGCAACAATCCCACAGCACTCTGTATGCATCTAATGGTGTCATTAGTCCCATATGAACCAAGTCTTCCTGCTAAGGCTGCCCAAGCTTAGTGGAATGGAAACTCTTATTGGTAGTTGCCACTGTACATGTAGTGCATACTCAGCCTCCTCAACTCCAAGTTGATGATTGCTAGGATGGCAACCACAGAGTCGAGCTCCTGCGACTGTTGAGGCACCTCCATGGTTATGCGTTACATGCCTTCTCTCACCTTTTTTGCGGTCAACGTCAGTCTTGCACCAGTGCACTTTGACTTGCAGCGTAGTGCATACTGTAGCCAGTAGCAGTGAATGTGAATGTCTAGTTTGTCTCTTTTGTACATACTTACAGAGAAGGCTTTTTGTGTGCTGAACTGGGTCTCAGTAACGTTTTATTAATGTGGCTATCCTTGCACATTTTACACCCAAATTTAGAAAACAAAGGGAAATTCACAGAAGGAATTAGATCACAGCAGCACACAGATTGATTTCTCTGGATGGACTGTATGCTCTGGTCAGGCGGTTTGCTCCCACTCAGTAAACTAACGTCGATATGTCACCTAACTTTTTCCTTAGCGCCTCGTCAAAATGAACATGCCCATCGCTGAAGACAACACAGTTCACTTCACCTCCACCCTGATGGCCCTGATTCGCACTGCCCTGGAGATCAAACTGGGCTCAGGTTAGAGAAACACAACACAAATTATTTGAACAGAAAAAAAAATCTAATTTGAAAACATTTATTTCATGTCTTCTCTGGTTTTCCCATCTCAAGAAAAAAATGACAGTATAACAATATACAAGTAAGAGTGACAGTAAATCAAACTAAAAATCCAAATGTTTTGAGTGCAGTTTCTGCTGGTTGCCATGTCCTGCTACAATTATACTTAAGGTATAATTTATATAAGTATATTTTTTTACAAGCCAGCAAATTTTTAAGAGTCCCTAATAGGCCCTTTTTTAACACTTCAGAACTTTGAGTGAGAAGACAGAGAGTTTGGGTGCATAGAAAGGTGTGGACAGACAGACAAAGGATTAGCCTTTTGAACTGTCACAACTCAAAAACTAAGTTGTATAGAGAAAATTCTTACACTATGTGAAACACAGTCTTGTTTTACACAAGAACAAGATTTTCAGGTACATATTGTATACAATATAGATTTGGTTCCAGGTTAGAGAGACTCACCATTTCGGATTTTTACGCAACAATTTAGAGCAAGGATATAATGGGAGTCAATGACAATTTTGGTTGGCACACTTCTGAATAAAACAAATCCTACAGCAATGAGAGTCACTAAGTGTGAGAAGGCAAAAATGCCCATATGTCAAAAGTTCATTTTCACTGAACAGCATCTTTGAGTGTTTTGAAAAGCACCATATAAATATAATGTATAACTATTATTACTAACAAAAATCTGGATTTTACAAAAATATATAAAACTGAAACTGCAACCACCGAAAAAGATATCAAAACATAGATTTAGACGCATAACATTCAAAGCCTTGTGACCAGTTTAAACTTCTACAGGCTACAGAGTTCCAAAGATGGCTGAGTTTTGGCAGTTGTCCGGCCAACTTCCCATTCATTTCTTGTGACCAGTTTAAACTTCTACAGGCTACAGAGTTCCAAAGATGGCTGAGTTTTGGCAGTTGTCCGGCCAACTTCCCATTCATTTCAACTGAGATTTTTAATGCAGTTTTTAACAATGTTTTGTAAACTGTATGATAAATTGCTACCAAGAGCCATAGCACACCGTTCATGATAGAGCTGCACATTTCGTTATACCATCTACCATTAGCAGGGCCTGACCCAAGAACAGGCTCAGGAATAGAAGAGGCGCCAATCAATCCAGACTCAGAAACAGGCATGGAACCAAGAGAAGTGACAGCTGGCCCAGACTCTGGAACAGGAGAAGCATCAACCAAGGAAGAGGAGAGGCTGAAGCTGACAGGAGGCCACCAGGCCAATAACTAGCCAACCATACGGATTATGATCTTACTTGTAATGAAAGTGCAGATAGTCTTCATTCAGAAATGTGCGTTTCCTTCTGGTTGCACTTCTCAGTGGGTGACATGGACACACAGGGTTACTGATACTATTCTAAAACCGTTGGGACTAAGGACTAAATTGATGACAAGTGCTTTGAGACTTCTGCTTCTGGCATTAATGCTTCTCTGTGAAGGTTTCCCTACCTGCAAAACTACACTGGCCTGGACATAGACTACTCAGGGGCTAGTTTACTTTAAAGAAGCGCTCCTGTCTTTCCATGGATGTTTTTGGGTCACTTATCCACAACTTGATGAGGGACCTAAGAGCTCTACGCACACAGCAAATGTACAAAATAGGCCAGAGAGAAGGCGTACGACAACAGTTACAGAGAAAAGACAGTCGCTGCTATCTATAGTTCTGAGCAATGCAAAGCAATTTTTAACTGTAGCTGATTATTTTTCTATTGTTGTGACTCATGTACAGTTTTACGTTTATACAAAATAAAGTTACATAATTTATGTTTACACAAAATACATTTACATGATTAAAATTTTATAAATCGGATTTAACATGATTTACATTGAAAAAGGTGAAATACAGGCATAGACCATAGACTGTATAAAAGATGGACGTAGCAACCGGCCCTGAAAAATGAAGCCAACCCGGAAGTGTCAAAAACCTGCAATATCACTAC